TGTGTTTTGATTACAGCTGTAATCACGACCTCTTCCTGTTTCTTTCCTTTACACACTCAATCTTCTAACTTCTTCCATTCTTCATTATCTTTTTTTTTTTTAATTAAATGTTTTTTATTGTTTATTTTAACTATATTAATAATGTAAAATATTAAAATATTAATTTAATATAATAATAAAAAGTTAAGTATTTACTATTTATTTTACTATTTTAACATAATAATTCATTTAATTATTAAATTATAAAAAATAAATTTTTTTTTTGTTAAGATGTTGATTAATATTTTTATTTTTTTATCTCCAATATTTGAATTGTTTATTTTGTTTGGTGGTAATAGTTGACTCATGAATTCTCACACACAAAAATTAAATTTACAACATTCAAATTTAAGATTTGATTTAAAAACATAATTTATATTTTCAGATACGAATTAAATATGGGTTTTTCTCAACCTAATTTATATTATTTAGAACATGTTAAGAAAAACTTCTACTTAAACATTTTTGAAATGAAAAAAAAAGAAGCCTTTTCACAAGTTTTAAATTAATTTAAATATAAATTGTTTTTTATATATATATTTTTCTCTTTTGTGGATAAATTTATTCGAATATATGTTTATTAATTGGAAGAAGTTGTTGGTCTCTATACAGTTACATAAGATAATGTTTTATATATATATTTTTATTTATGACTCCATCTTCCAACTATTCTCTCTGACTCCTTCACAAATTCAAAGTTCCCAGTTATTTGTGTTCATACTTTATGTACAAGGCACTGGTGGTTGTACTATTTTTTTAAATATATTCAATGTTTATATATATATATATATATATATATATATATATATATATATATATATATAAATATATAAAGTGAAAAAAAATGGTTAAAATTAAAAAGAAGTGGTTTATATAAGTAATGTAACGTGAGATTTGTAATAAAATTTTTAATTTATTTTTGTTTAAGATTATTCGAAATTGCAGCACAAATCTAAAACAGAATCTGTTTCAAATGCTCTAAAAAAATGGTGCATATAGGTATTAAAATTTTAGGTTTTATCTGATTATTTTTATCAAAAATAAAATATGTATTTGATGTAGAAAATCATCATACTTAGTTGATTACTAGTGTAAATGTTTTACACTACATAATATTTAATCTCTTAATGCAATTAACTATTTAGTCGGAATTTAATACATAATAATTTTTAATTTTCTATCTCGGTTATAAAATTGTGTTAAATAAAATAAGATTTTAAAAATAATTTTGCATTATTAATTTGATCTTTTATATTATAGAGAAATTTTGTTTTGATGTTATGATTTGTTACTTTCGAAAGGCATGTTTGTTGAAACATTTTTCTTTGTTTTGACATGGATCTTTCCTTTTCACCAAAATTATATTAAAATCAATCAAACAAACCTTTATAATTTTTTTTGTATAAATAAAATTTTAATTAATATTTTCTTTAAAAAGTAGTTTTTCAGTCATTTTTTATCAACAAAACAAATAATTTATTAAAAAATAACTTATCACAAGAATTAATAACTTTTTATCTATTTTTTAAAACGTTTAAAGTTTGAAAATGATAAGTAAAATACAAAATTAGGTATCATGACTAATTTATGACTTAATTGTACTTTTTTAGTTCTATAATAACTATTTTACTTGGATTTAATTTATTTTTAATTATTACAGTCAAATTAGTCTGCAATATTTTTTTACGCATAAAATAAGAAATAATTTTAAAAGAAAATAAACTTAGAATAAATTTTGTATTAAGACTAAAATTTGACAGTGGATTATGTTTTAAAAATAGAACTAAACCTTAAATTGTTTCGTCAAAATTCCATAATCATGTACATTGGAATGTCACAAAAGAAAGAAAAAACAAATGTGATTCCTTTACTTTCTCCGTCTGTTTCGTGAGAAATGGTGTAGAGATCATAATTTATGAATTATTTAACTAATAATTATATTATTATATTCAATCTCTCTCTTCTTTTTCTATCTCTCACACACATAACCAAAAACACAAAAGCATGCCACAGAAAAAAGAAAGATTGTGCAAACATTTCATTGAATTTTGGGTGATTATCCTCGTGATCTGTGCAAATCATCCTCTACTTCATAGTATATGAGTTCTTCCCCCTTTTCCATCTTTTCTTTCTTCACTGTTCAACACCCTTCTCTCAGGAACTAAACTTTTCAAGTTTTGGGATTTGGAGGGTGCAAAAGGTGAGATTTTTTAGCTGGTTTTTGTGTGTCATGTTAAAAAACCTTTTTTATTCTCTTTCTGGGTTTTTTTTTGGTTTATTTTATTATATTTTACTTTACTCCTTTTGCCTTCTGGGATTTCTTGTTATGCATGTCAAGCTGAGCCAATGTGTTTTTTAAGGTTTGAGTCCTTTGTGTGAAAGGTCGAGGCAATTTGGTGCATTATGAGTGAACTAGGTGAGCTCAAGTTGCATTTTTATCTGTGTTATGACTTTGACTTTTTGTTTTGTTCTATTGCTTGTTCTTGAGTTCCACCTGCTGCTTTTGTGTATTGCAAATTTGGGCTTGTTGAGAGGTTTTCGCATCATCTCAATTGTCTGCTTCTGTGACAGTTTTAAGTTCATTGCAAATTTTCTTATGTGCTTCAGTTTGTGGTACTTGGTTTATTCAGTTCTGTTAGCTCAATTCCTTTGATCTATGGGGTGGTTGAGTTTGTTGAGGTTGGTTATATAGTAACACTGGTAACTTCTGACTCTACTATAAGTAAGCTTGTAAGAAGTCTCGTAATTGAAAAGTGCTTTTGGTTCCTGGAAATGCAAGTTATCTTAGGCTGAAGAGAGAGTTGTTGGGACCATGAGTGTCATTGATATTTTAATATTATTCATAAAGTGAAAGCAATCTAGTCTATATATATATATATATATATGTATGTATGTATGTATGTATATCAAATATGAGTTAACCGAATGGTCTAATTGACTTTTGTGATTTTGTTATTCTACTGAAAAAGATTGACAGAGTAACATGTGACTGGGGTTTGGGTCAAAGATGAAGGTTGCCCTTAACTACCAAATGAGTTTGAGCTAACATGACCAGTTATTTGATTCTGTTAATTTCCTTTGTTCTACCTTGTTTGTCTTATTGATAATTTTGTTTGATCTATATCTTTGCTTAAAGTGAAAGAAAAGTGAAAATTTATGTGATTGGTGACCTAAACAGATCGCTTGGTGTATGATCAGAATTTAGCCCCCTTGAAAAGCCTGCTTATATTCTATCTTCTTTAGTTAAGAAATGAACCTTCACTTGTTAGAGAATGGTATACTTGGGACGGTAATTATAAGCTGTTTCAAGAATAAAAGAGGCAAAGTTGATAAATATCACGTTTGTTCCTTTCATAACAATCAATTCAACTGTCATTTGAATAAAGATTTTGAAATAATGTCATTTTCCATGTTCACTTTTGGCATGAAACAAAAAAAAATATTTTCCACATAAAACTCTGGAATAATTTTCTCCTTCAGAAGTATAGTGAGCTATGTATTGAAGAGCACGATAAAAGATTTGCTGTCATTCGAAAGCCTTTAGTCCTTGATGGCATTTGGATCTTCTCTTGTGTGCTGCTGAACTTCTTATCTGTTTTTTTTTTTACTCTATGAAGTTCTATGCACTTCACCTGTTTGTGTATAGTATACAAGTTAAGAATTTGGACCTTGTCACCCTTATTTTCTGTAAACAGAATAAATTTTGAATACAACAGTGATTTTTATTTTTTTATTTTTCATTTTCCATGCTTCAGACCTGTAGTCTTGTAGATACACAGCCATTCATTTGCTATCTAATGACTTACACTTTTCATAGAGTTTATTTTAGTATCTTGACTGCAAAGAAGTTGTATTAATGAGGTTTGTATACTTCTAAGGCAATGAAACCGTTGAATTAAATTTTTTTAGAGAAAGGTAGCCTCCTTCTTTTGTTGGTAAAACTTGAAAAAGTGATAATCAGAAAAGTAAACATGCTGACCTTCACCACAGTAGAAATTTTCAAATCAAGCATTTCTAATGCAAATAAGGTTTGAACTGTAACATAAAAAGGTTAAGTTGAAGTAGAGTTTCTGGAGTATTCACTTGAAAAAGTAACACTCATCAGCTTTTTAATTTTATTGGCTTGTCAAACTTATTTGCCGAGTAATTGACATCTATATTTGTATAATAGCCCTGTGGCAATTCTGTTCTATGGTTTGTCATTGATATAATAAAGAGATGTTTGAGCAATATATGCTAATGCCTTTTCCAGTATAGTTCATTTTGACATAAGCCAATAAGTGTATACTCTCTTCCTTTGTAGATGGATTTTTTTTCTAATACTTTTTGTTATACCTGTAAGGCATGGATGATATTCTTTTGCTAGTTGCTACATTATTATAATCACTGGAGAAGGCAATAGTTGACTTTGTTTTTGACAATTTAACTAGATTTTACGTGTTGGTTTACATTTGGCATTAACCGATTGCATTTTTGAAAACTTTAATCATTTCTTATATAGTAAATCTTTTGTCTTCAGTTAGTAAGTTCAGTAAAAAAAAAAACGGTTCTTGTTTTCTTATACAGCTTTATTTGAATGCAAACTATGAAGAAATTAATGAACTTAAAACTGGTTTTATTCCTATATATGATCTCTGAGAACCTAAGCCATCATTAGATGGAATCTCTATCTAGTGTCTTCCTTTTGATAACATGAAGGTATAGTCATACAGTTTTAAGCTTTACATATCCATCATATTTGCTTCATTGTGCTATATTTCTTTTTTTCCTAGGTATGGCTTGTTATAAGAACATAAATTTTATATTGTATGGTATTTTTTTTTTTTAATACTAATCAAACAAATGCATGCTTAATTTTGTCTTTACTACTAATCCTTGTTTCTCTCATGTTTTTCCCAGGGTATCTGAATTTATTGAAATAGTGCTTTAAAAGCAATAATGGGGTGGCAATTGTGACAAATATGGATCCTCAGGCCTTCATTAGGTTGTCAATAGGTTCTCTGGGGTTGCGATGCACTGGAATTGAACTGCACACTGGAAAATCTGGAATTCAAACACTCTCACTACCTTGTGTTTGTGAGATTCGGCTTCGAGGTTTCCCTGTTCAAACATCTTCAGTCCCTGTGATATCCTCTGCAGAAGTTACACCTGACACTCAGAACATTGCCTCTAGCTTTTACCTTGAGGAATCTGATTTAAAAGCATTATTAGCTCCTGGCTGCTTCTCCAAAACTCATGGTTGTTTGGAGATTGTTGTGTTCTCAGGGAGGAAGGGGTCCCATTGTGGAGTTGGCATCAAAAGGCAGCAAATTGGGATCTTTAAATTGCATGTCGGCCCCGAGTGGGGTGAAGGAAAGCCATTGATTCTTTTTAATGGGTGGATTGGTATTGGCAAGAATAAACAGGAGAATGGAAAGCCAGATGCAGAGCTTCATTTAAAAGTGAAACTAGACCCTGACCCTAGATATGTATTTCAGTTTGAAGATATCACAACATTGAGTCCTCAGATAGTTCAACTGCAAGGATCTATCAAGCAGCCAATCTTCAGTTGCAAGTTTAGTAAGGACAGGTGATACAAAATTTGCAATCTATTTTACTTTCAATCATGTTGACCCTTTTGAGAAATCTTTAGAACTCATGATTTTGTTGTTCTCAAATAGCATGAATTCGAGTTTTAGAATTGAAATGAAATCAGTACGAAGTTGTGCTTCAATCATTGAGAGATAGTGGATGTGTTAAAATATCAAACTTTGATTTCTTCTTCAATGCCTGAAATTTGTTACTTTGTCACTTTGTCCTCTTAAAGTTAATTGCTCACTTTAGAGGGTCAATCCATTAAGTATACTTTTATTTGCATCCTTAAGCATGGAGAAAAACTTATACCAAATGTTTGTGTGGACTGATGTAGTAAACCAATCCTCTTCTCAAAAGGAAGCTTAAATCATATAAACCTTATCTTCATAAGAACTCGAAGCCTGATTTCTGACCAAGGAATTAAATCATTACCTCAAACCAATATTTGAAGTGGAAAATTGGTAGTGTGTTTTCTTCATTGTTTCTTTATCAGTTGAATCTGATATATGTAAGACATGCAATGTTTTTCTAAACATTTGTTGTTAATAAAACTTTTGATAGTAATGGAATGACAGGGTTTCCCAGATTGACCCGTTGAGCGCATACTGGTCAGGTTCTACTACCGAGATTTCTAACTTAGAGATAGAGAGGAGAGAAAGAAAGGGGTGGAAGGTGACGATACATGATCTCTCTGGCTCGGCTGTCGCAGCAGCCTTCATAACAACTCCCTTTGTTCCATCTTCAGGTTGTGATTGGGTTGCCAGATCCAACCCGGGCTCTTGGTTGATTGTTCGTGCTGACACAGGTCGATCTGAGAGCTGGCAGCCATGGGGAAAGCTCGAAGCATGGCGCGAGCGTGGCATTAGAGACACTGTTTGCTGCAAGTTCCATCTTCTGTCAGAAGCTCAAAAGGGAGGTGAACTTCTTATGTCTGAAATACACATAAATGCTGAAAAGGGTGGAGAGTTTTTCATAGACACTGAGAAACATCTGAGAACTGCAACCACAGCAGCAAGTCCAATACCAAGTCCACAAAGTAGTGGAGACTTTGGTGCCTTGAGTCCATTGGTTGGAGGTTTTGTCATGAGTTGCAGAATTCAAGGTGAAGGGAAGCGAAGTAAACCGTTAGTCCAACTGGCAATGCGGCACGTGACATGCGTGGAGGATGCTGCCATCTTCATGGCACTTGCAGCAGCTGTGGACCTCAGTATTGAGGCGTGTAAACCTTTCCGGAGGAAGGTGAGGAGAGGTTTCTGGCATTCTATGTGAAGAACAAGGCAAATGTATTTGTAATCACCATCATAAATGTGAATGTTCTGCCTTTGCTTTTCATTGCTGCAATGCTTAAAAACATGTACAGCTTAAGATAGTGCCATACATTGCCCTCTTGTGAATTCTTCAACATATTATCAGCATTGTGATATTTATGGCTACATGACACAATGTGATCTTGTACAATTAAGGTGCACAAAACAATATCAAGTTAATGAACTTTTCTAGAATTGACCTCATTCTGAAAAGGGTTCTATTTTTAGAGTTGTTCTTGTCAAATGTCATATATCTTTCATTTCATTGCTTCAGTGTGATTTTCGTTGAAGGTAGACTCTGTTCATTGTTTTATCCATTGACTGAATTTTATGATAAGTACAGATTTATGATTTTGAATATATTAGGTTAATAAACAAATTTTCACTAGAGTTCATCAGGAACTTGAATCCATGATAACAAGTTGCTGAATTTGTAATGCGTTAGAACATGTTTCTTTTCTTCAATTTCATGTAAATTAAGCTGGGTGATATCTACATTTAGATTTTGTCCATATCCATGGAAGTTTTTTAACACATTTTATGTTTTAAATCTTAGGATATATGATTAAGAAAAACATTTTGCTTCAATGTTTTGTCTTAACTTCTTAAAAACATTAGAAGAGAAAAAACAAATGAGTTAAATCAAACCTTACTGTAATTTATAATTTCCATGATTTTAATTGGGCAACTTTTTCCTTAAACACTTTTAGAAAAAAAAATCATAAATTAAAATTAGCTTATACTTAATTAATGAAAAATCTCTGAAGTCTTAATTTTTTAATATATGAAAATACCGATGGAATTAATATTACTATAAAATTGTTATTATAAACATTCATTTTTTTTAATATGTTGAATGTGATAATAAAGTTAGAATGTAAGAAGATATGCAAATTATCTAAAATCCATCACTACTTTTACCTTGGAAAATAAATGTCAGTTTTTTTAGGATGAGTCAGGATTAAATATAACTCGAAAATAATTTTGTTCAAACAATGTATTTTTTGAAATAATTTCTCTCTTTAATCACATTTGCTTTTTATGAGAAATTGGAATGCTTCTACTAAAAATATACAAAATCATATTATTTGTATATAATAGGATCATAAGATAAAAATAAACTGATAATATAAAACTAAGATAATATATAACTATACTAAATAAATATTTTATATCAAATATTATTTATAAAAAATATTAACAAATAGTTGTCATACAATGTTAATTGCATAGAGGAGATTATGTAATAACTATTATTCAATAACTCATGTGAAAAGGTTCTTAAATAATTTAAAAATGTATTTCCATATTTTCACTTGAATCATTAAGGATGAAAGAACAAAACAACGTAATAGTAAAGAATAATAATAAAAAATGATAAAATGAGAGATTAAACAAATAAAAATAAAAATAAAAATAAAAATTAAAGAAAAAATTATCAATTCATCATAAGAACAAATTCAAAATAATAAAATAAGCAACACAAATAAAACTAAAAAAATATTTAAAAGATTGAAAACGAGTTCAAATTAAAATATTTTGATAAAAAAATTCTCATGAAAAAACTCATTTGAGACGAAATATAAAAAAATTTCACATAAACAAACTATACGATGATTATATAATATATATATATATATATATATATATATATATATATATATATATATATATATATATATATATAAGTGGAATACAACTCTATTTTATTAATTTAGTTTTATAAAAGTCAGGTGATTTTCATTTTTAATTGTTTTGTTACATTCATTAATCTTATATTACTTGAATATCGGATAAAATGTAATTTATATATATATATATATATATATATATATATATTTTTTTATTTTTTTTTTCAATCCACTATATGTTTTTTAAAATCAAGGTGATTACGCGCTAAAGTTTCAAATTTGTAATGAAATTCTTTGATAGTTAAGAGAATAGATAGATCCATTTTAAGTCCGGTAAAATTCAACAATGTTACTCTTTACACAAAAATTAGTGCTGTAAAATTTATATTATTTATTCTTTGGTGATTTTTTAGATGGAAACAAAGCAAATTTGGACATCTGAAATATTATAAATGGTGTAATACGAGAATAATACAAATTAATTTATCGAATTGATATTTTTCTTATCAATCTAACTTTTTATGATAAATAAAAAATAATTTAATACTATTAACAGAAACATAGTCGTCCATATGTCATATGTCTATGTCCATATTCTTTTATTTTTTATTTATTTCAATAAATAAAATTATATATATATATATATATATATATATATATAAATTTTTAAAAATAAATATTTATTCCTAAAATTATATATTATTGGAGACAAACAATTGTTGGATAACGTTTTAAAAGAAGAGAGAAACAGAGAAACGCGTGAATAATGGAATAAAAAAGAGATGAGAATTTATTATCATTATTATTTATTAATCTACATAGAGAGATTGAAAAGAACGAGTGAGCTAAACAACAAATAATTAATTTTGTTTATATTTGAGAAAAAATTAGGAAGAATATGTAGTTGAGAGAGTAGAGGAGACAAAACATAAAATAAATATCTTATTGAACTATGACACCACACAATAATAATAAAAAAGATATTTTTTTTATACAAAGATATAAATAATATAATGATTTTAGTTTGTATGTTTTTCTTATAAATAAAATTTATTATCCCATTTTATATTACAAATAATGTAAAATAAAATTACAAAAATGTGAGATTCACATTAAACTCGTTAAAAGTTGGTTAAAAATTTAATTTAACTTTTATTATTAGAATAAAAGAAGATGATCTTTCTTAGATTCTACTCACACTTATAAACCTAAAAAAATGAAATAAGAATCCAAAATAGATTTTATCATGTATATCTCTAGAATTCATCTCCTTTTAATACTTCCTATTTTTTATAAACTTCCAATTACTTGTTCTCTAATGATAAAGTTCAATGCCTCTAGTTTGGTATAACTTATTATTATTATTATTATTATTATTATTATTATTATTATTATTATTATTATTATTTATTTTGTAAGAGTTTCTTTCTCTCTTTTGCGAATTATGTTTTCGTTGAAAACGGATTCTTGGAAGTTTTTTAGAATAACTAGTTCTATAAGACGATGTCAACTAATTTCTCTCCCATGTAAAATAAAACAAAAAATGCGTTTTTTAATTTAAGAAACTCAACATGAGCTTATTATGAAAATGTCGTAAAATACACACCCTAATTTAAATTTAATCATATGGAATATAGCAACTATGGATAATGACATCTTTTATCCTAAAACTTTCCTCTTCAAATCATGATTTAGAAGTCTCAAACTTGTCAATGTTATTGTACTTCAGTTTCAACTAATATTTTATTCATATTGAGAAATAGTTTTGGAATATGTTTTTGAATTTGGTCCTCAAATCGAAAATATAGTCAATATATTACAAGAAACATAATTAATATATTACAACTTTGAATTCTTTTTTGTACTGTTTAAAACTAGAAAAGTAATGATTGTTTACGGGATTAAGCAGATCCAAACTACAGTTGGACTAGTTCAATTCATGTACCAAGTTCGTCAAGCTAATTAACGGGTGTAATTTCAAGCTAACGTAAAATTGTTTTAATTTATTCCCACCCATAAAAAGAAAGGTTTTCATTAGTTGAAATATTGGCAACAGCCAGTGTGACCTTTTTCAAAATCCTGAAAAAATAATTTCTAAAACAGTAATCTGAAACACTTAAACATGATTGAAAAATGTGTTCAAATTCATCTAAACTCCGTATTTCTTATATAAAACAAACTGGTCATTGATTGGCTTGGCCTCGACTTCTGGGTCAGATCCCTTAACTTACATTCCTCCATGGTTATCTTATAGCTAGTCAAAACTAGCTCTTAGCCAGTCTTGTTCCCAGCATCGATGAACCCGTCCACGATCAGGCAGCACTCCGAATATCTACCCTTCCTCGCTTCGAAGGAGCAACTCTTAGAACGAGGGAGAACTCTCAGGTGGAGGCAAGAAGAAATAAGGAAAGAATGCGAAGTAAGCATCCAACCCTGGTACTAGCAAACGATGACTCAGGAAAGGAAGTGAAGGATGAGAGAAGGGATTAGTGGGCGGACGGTGTAGTTCCCCTTTCGTAGTTCTCGGTACTAGGGCCGATCCCATCCAGTCAGCCTAAAAGTCAGTCCTTGCTTTCGACTCAGAAGTCGTATCAGCTTTCTTCTGGATGTAAACTCATTATACTCCAATATCTACTTTATTGAACATGATCAATCAGAACAATTACAATGGTTAAAATGCTCCATTTCAAGGAATCTATTGCAACAGACGAAAATTAAATTTGGTCACAGGGTAGACTCTTATAGCCACTGAATCAAATTTCAATTGATTACACTGGTTAGAAGGGAAAAAGATTTAACAATTGAAAGAAACTATAAACTAGTTAAATTGCAGCTGGAGGTCACCTTTTTAAATCTTGCATACATGCATGTGAAAATCTATTAGCCAGCCTACCACTCTATTGTACAGAAACTGGTACAATTGCCCAAAATATGGACCAACATCTAGTTCAGCCACACATAGGTATCTACAACACTGTTTTACCATGTAGCAGAACCAAATATACATGTTCCCCATAGTTCGGCACTGAATTTTCCAAATTAACGTTGTACAAATGTCCATTCCAAAGCTTTGGTTTTGCTCGGGACGACGATATAGGTACTGCTGATCTTTGTGCATGTATACATGCTGTGTTCTATTATATACACACAGACCTAATTTATTGCACAACATCATGCTCATTTAGCTATCAATGTTTCCTTTCCCACTTCCCTTCACGTCTGTTGTCTCTGTCTCTACGTTCTCCAAGTTGCCTTGACTTGCTTCCTCTTGAACTGTGCCTTTGAGAACCGTATCCACTGGACGGGCCTTCAAATGCTGAGACTAGTTCTGGATCTCCAATGCTGCTGGTATCCCCAGAATCCTTGCTTCCATCAACATTTTCTTCGCACATGCTGCCGGTGTCGTCCTGTCGGTCACGTGACTGTAAGATAGTAGGATGCTGTCCGGTGAATGTACGAGATCCAGAAAGAACTATAGTTGGTGAGGGTGCAATTGATGAACTGGTGGAAGGAATTTCAGCTTGTACGCTTCCACCACCACCTCTAGTGCTCCCTTCATTACCAGATCTTCCATTTTCTCTTTCGCGGAATCTATCCCTAGGTCGACTGCAAGATGGAGAAACCCACAAAATTCACATGAAGTAATTTACAATGTCAAAAGACTGACAGGAGATTTAGTAAAGCCCTATCTCTCCTTATAGGAAAACACAAAACTAACAGAAAAGGAAGTACGTAAGAGACCAATATGATCATTTTAGCAGGAGTCAAACTAGTCAAATTGATTTTTGGATCATGGCATGGGCTTTTGAGGTCAGATCACGCGTTAGGCCATATCAAAATTACAAGCCAGTTCTACAAATAATTGTCACTCCTCTTTGAGAAATAAGTATTATTCGATAGAAAGGAGATAACTAGAGCTGACACATATATTCTTCAAAAGATAAAAACAAAGCTTGGAACAACACAACACAACACAAAAAGAAACAATTTTAGTTGTTGGAACTATTAATTAGCTGTACCTATATCTTCTAGCTCACAATTTTATCCCTTGACCTTCCATCTACTTAGAGTATATGTTATATTCTTATCATTATAAATAAGATATGATATTAGAGGTACAATTAAGCCCTCTAAAAAATATTTTATTTTAAATTGGTATCATAGTTAATTCCGCTCTACTGGTCTATTGTTCTCCAGCCACCGTCCTAGTTTGTCGTCGCCCCCGTCATTTGTCGTGGGACCTCCCTGCCCTGTTCTGATCATTGGGTCCTTCTTTCCCACTTATTTGAATATTTGTTTTTAGGTTTTCTAAGTTAAACCTAAAGCTGCAAGTTTATATTATAAAAAATGTCCACTGTACCTGTGTTATCCTTCTCAGGAATTCCGCTAAAAAGTTGAATAGAAAAAATTATCTATCTTGGTTTTCCTTAGTTGAACTACGGTATATTGGCCAAGGTCTCCATGATCACCTTGTACAAGATGGGAGTACGGTACCAACTCTTAAAATTGAAAAGTGGAAACAGATTGCTGCCTTATTGTGGTAATCTGTGGAATTAATGATGTTGGGAACTCTGGAAAATTAGATTAAATAAAATCTTATTTTAATACAAAGAGATCATACAAGATATGTACAGGAGACCTAAGCTATTTTTGGAAATATAATAACTCTATTTTATTCTAGGATCCCTTGATTTATGGAATTGTTCCTAATTATTCAAATCTGTACAGATTACAAATTTCCTAATTTATTCTTTCCTAAAATACTATTTGATTTCCCACACTCCCCCTCAAGTTGGTGAATAGGTGTTTTCCATTCCCAGCTTGGATACAATCTTCTCAAAATTTTGGCAGCTCAGTCCCTTGATAAGAATGTCTGCAATTTGGTCTTGAGAGGACACATATGGAGTGCATATTAAGCCACTATCAAGCTTTTCTTTGATGAAGTGTCTGTCTACTTCAATATGCTTTGTTCTATCATGCTGCACTGGGTTGTGGGCTATACTGATTGCTGACTTATTATTACAATAGAGCTTCATAGGTTCTTCCCATTTTATCCTCAAGTCTTCTAAGATGATTTTAAGCCATAACAACTCACATATACCTTGTGTCATGGCTCGGATTTCTGCTTCAGCACTGGACCGAGCCACTACACTCTGTTTTTTGCTTCTCCAAGTCACAAAATTTCCTCCAAAAAAGGTGCAATATCCTGTAGTTGACCTCCTATCCACAATTGACCCTGCATAATTAGCATCAGTATAGGCTTCAAGCTTCACATTACCATTTCTTTTAAATAGAATCCCTCTTCCTGGAGTTCCTTTAAGGTACAGTAAAATTCTGTGGGCTGCTCGTAAATAGGTCTCCTTTAGGTTATGCATAAATTGACTAATTAAACTCACTGCATAGGCAATATCTGGCCTGGTATGCGACAAATATATAAGTCTGCCCACTAATTACTGGTACATATCTTTTTCAACAGCAACATCTTCTTCTGCATTTCCAAGATTTAAGTTTGGTTCTAATGGGGTACTAGCAGGTTTGCAAGCTGTCTTGCCAGTTTCCTTGAGCAAATCAGTGATGTATTTCTGCTGGGATATAAATATCCCTTTCTTGGAGTGGGCAACTTCGATTCCTAAAAAATATTTTAGTTTTCCCAAGGTCTTGATCTTAAATTCTTTGCCTAAGCATTGGCTCAACAATTGCTGCTCTTCTTTATTATCTCCAGTTAATATTATGTCATCCACATACACCAATAATATTGTTACTCCCCCTGACTTGGAATGTTTAAAGAACAAAGTATGATCCCCTTGGCTTTGTTTGTAACCCAGACCTGTCATAACTTTAGTAAACCTGCCAAACCATACCCGGAGGGACTGTTTTAACCCATATAATGCCTTTTTCAACTTGCAAAAAGTGTTGGCAACAACATCTTTACCATATCCCGGAGGTATCTCCTTATAAATTTCTTCTTCAAGGTCTCCATGTAGGAAAACATTCTTAACATCAAATTGTTCCAAGTTCCAACCATAATTGGCAGCAAGGGACAATTTCACCCTGATTGTGTTCATTTTGGCAACCGAAGCAAAGGTCTCCAAATAATCAACTCCATAGGTTTGAGTGAACTCTTTGGCAACTAGTCTTGCCTTATATCTCTCAATTGATCCATCAGCCTTGTATTTCATTGTATAGACCCACTTACATCCAACTGGCCTCTTTCCTATTGGTAAGATGACTAACTCCCAGGTGTTGTTCTTCTCCAATGCCTCCATCTCTACATCCATGGCTTGCCTCCATTTTTTGTCAGACAATGCCTCAGATAGGGTATTAGGTATGAGTATAGTGTTTAGATTTACTAGGAAAATTTTATGGGTAGGAGAGAAATTTTTAAAGGACAAGTAATTTGAGAGAGGGTAGAGTGGTTGTTTGGTGCATTTTCTTGTCCCTTTTCTAATGGCAATTGGGAGGTCAGGATTATTTTGGGTTTCAATTTCAACCTGCACAGCTGGATAAAAAATTGTTACCTCTTTTTGTGGAGTCGAGTTGGATTCTTGAACATGGCTTGATCCTGGAATGGCCTTAGTACACCAGCTTCTTACCAAATTTTCCAGCTTCAACATCTTCTTGATCAACTTCACAATTAATTTCACTTTCTTGACCAACTTCCTTTTCTTGACCAATTCCTTGACTTGTTTCATTTGTTACAACTTCAATTTGATCTTTAATTTGATTTCGTTTAGGTTCAAAGTCTGGAAGAATGGGAAAACTAGAATTACTACTTTCAATATGATCTCGTTTAGGTTCAAATGTCAAGTCTGGAAGAATGGGAAAACCAGAATTACTACTTTCCTTATCTTCCTTGAAACTCTCCCCCTAAAGATAAGGTTAATGGAAATAGCCCTCTTGTTCATTGAAGATAACATCCCTAGACACAGAATTTTTTGGATGGGGGGTGTTAGCATTTATACCCTTTTTGAGTGGGTGACTAACCAACAAAGACACACTTTAAGGCTCTAGGATTAAGTTTTCCCCTGTCTGTATTATGAATATGGACATATGAGATGCACCCAAAAACTCTTGGTTTAAGATTATTTGTAGTAGACAAATTTGGATAGAAAGACGACAAAGCTTCCATAGGGCTTTTTGATCCTAAGACTCTAGAGGGTAGTCTATTGATAAGGTATGTTGCTGTAAGGACAGCTTCCCCCCAGAAATTTTTTAGGACACTTTTTTGGAACAATAATGCTCGAGTCTGATTTAATAGATGTCCATTTTTTCTCTCTACGACCCCATTCTATTATGGTGTTTTGAGATAAGAGGACTCATGAATTATAGCTTCTTTTTAACAAAAAGAATTAAGGACATGATTGATGTAATCTTTGGCATTATCTGACCTAAACCTCTTAATATTAACACCAAACTGATTTTTTTATCATGGAGTGGAAGTTTAGGAAGATAGAACTGAGTTCTGATTTTTGTTTAAGTAGGAAAACCCAAGTGACCCTTGTATAATCATCTATAAAGGTCATTCTATTCTCTAGCATGTCCAATCATCTTCCCCGAATCCTTGCCCTGAAATACACAATGATCGTTGAAAAAAACTTTACATGACAAATCCTTTATAAATTTTTGTATAGACACTAGGTTCGTGGACAGCTTTGGGACATGGAGAAAATCTTTTAAGGTTATTAAAGGATTGATTTGGATATTTCCTTGACCAGCTACATTTATAAGGATTCCATCTGCTGTGGCAATTTTCTTGTTACTGGGACATGGGGAATATGTGGAGAAGTGTTTGGCTAATGGTGTAATGTGATCTGTGGCTCTAGAGTCCAATATCCAATAATGGTTAAAAGATGTATCTGAGACATTTAATCCAAAAGAAGGTGAAAACTTACTTGAGTATGCCAAAGAACACACACCTGTATGTTTTTCCAGCTTACTAAGAACAGTTTTCACCCTTTCTATCTCCTCTTCCCTTGACATTATAACAAAAAGGTGCGATGCAACAGCAATGCAGACTGTCGTCTTAGGATTAAGAAAAATGCAGCAGTAATGCAGGTTGCCGTCTTAGGGTTAAGAAAAAATGCAACAGCAATGCAGGCTGTCGTCTTAGGATTAAGAAAAATGCAGCAGCAATGCAGACTGCCGTCTTAGGGTTAAGAAAAAATGCATCAGTAATACAGGCTGTCGTCTTAGGGTTTATAGTGCGCAAATAGAATTTCCTAGATTAGAAGCTCTGATACCATCTGGAAAATTAGATTAAATGAAATCTTATTTTAATACAAAGAGATCATACAAGATATATACAGGAGACCTAAGCTATTTTAGGAAATATAATAACTCTATTTTATTCTAGGATCCCTTGATTTATGAGATTGTTCCTAATTGTTCAAATATGTACAGATTACAAATTTCCTAATTTATTCTTTCCTAAAATACTATTTGATTTCCCACAAGAACTCTCGTTTGAAACATGTCATTCCTTTTGGAAAAAGGCTCAAAATATTTTCGCAAATGATATTCAGCGCCTCTCTGATTCTGCCAATAGACTTGCCTCTCTTAAACAATCAGATCATGATATGATGACTTTCGTGAGTGAAGCTCAATTTGTTATTGAAGAAGTAAACATGTTTTTGGAGAATGAGTTTTTAGAAGAAACTGGATAAATTCTATATGATTTTGATTCATCGTGCCATATATCCAGATTTTGAACATGTTAAAGATCAACTATTAACCGATCATGAAGTTCCATCCATGGAAAGTTTGATTATGAGACTTCTTTAGATTCCTACAAGTCAAAACAAGAACCTCCAAAAGGCTATAGAATCTTTTGTCATGATTTCTACATTTGGCAGAGGAGGACATAATGCTAGAGGAAGGAGTGATCGAGGACGTCCTCAATGTGCGCACTATAAGAGAATGGGTCACGTTCAAGAGAACTGTTTCACATTATTTGACTTTCCTAATAAGACAATCAATATCACTAAGACTGAAGTTGTTGAACAAAAGTTGTCTTATGAAGAGTGTCAGGAATATCTTAGGTTGAAATCCAATAACTTAGCACAATCATCAAGTTCTAATCCATCAACAAATAAAAACCCATGGATAATCTATTCAGGTGCTTCTGACCATATTTCTAGTAATGCATCCTTGTTCTCATCCTTTTCTTTCCAAAGAATCCTCATTTTATTACCTTAGCCAATGGTTCAAAAGCTCCTTCCAAAAGAGTGGGTCAAGTTTCTCTTTCACCTTTTTTAAATTTAAAA